AACTAGCTAGGTCGAAAGGTAATAATCATGGATTTCACGTAAAATAGATCTCCACTTTTCTTTATTTTCAAATTTGACCAAAACCAAATAACAAGTTTGGTCACATTGAACTATCCATGTGGCTGAGAGCCCTCACAGTCCAGGCACAACGACGCAATTATCATGGGCCACTACAACATTATGCGTATATAGCTACGAAAACTTAGCTACAGATTTAAAAATTGTAGCTAGTACCTAACAATAGCAAAAAATATTCGAGTTCCATAGCTATTTACAAATTTATAAAATTTCTTAGCCACAAAAATCAAATTGGCAAAACTAATTCCTCATTTTTGCTACAATTGCTAACAACTGTGGCAATACTTACATAAATAGCTACAAATTTATTGCTACAATAATTTTTCGTAGCTAATCATAATTTTTTGCCACATGATAAAAGTCACTGTAGCAATAGTAATCTTTTAGCTACAACAAATTATTTGAAGCAAAATATTGAAGCTAAATAAGTGTTTTTGCTTCAAGTTATAAAACATTGTGGCAATAGTTAAATGATGTAGCCATGGAGTTATTGCTACAATAAAATTTCATAGCTAATATTTGTTTTTACTACGAGTTAAAATTTACCGTAGCTATAGCAACTTTTTAGCTATTGCAAGTAATTTAAAACAAATATTGTAGCTAAATAAATATTGTTTGCTTCAACTACTAAAATACTGTGGCAACAGTTGATTTAACAGCTACAATTATTTGTCATGACAAGATAATATAGTCATGAATTTATTTTTGAGATAAAATTTCGCAGATAATCATTATTTTTTTGCCATAAGTTAAAACTTACTATATCAATGGTAATCTTTTAGACACATAAAATTATTTAAAACAAAATCGTGTAGCAAAATAAATATTTTTGCTTCAAATTATTTAAAAAATAGTTAGCTTAGCAATTACATAGATAGAACAAAATATCTAGTTATTTATCACTAAGATTATTATTCATATGAATTTTTGTATAATTTTGATATATTTAGATACACTGAAAATATCGAATTTAATATGGTTAATATCTACGTTAATTGGAAAACTAATCATATGATATATTTCATTAAATAAGTGTTAGTTATAAGTTCCATTTATAATTAAAATAATAAAATTATATCTAATTAATGAATAAATAACCATTTAACAA